GAAGCAAACCCGCCCCCAAGGGTAGGATGCAAAAAAAGACCGCAGCCCGTCCCAATCAGCTGACCTATAGTGCCAAACACGGCGGCAAGCTGCAGATCGCGACTGCGATTGGAGCGTGAGTGGCACCGTACTCCGGATCAGACAATGGTCCGAAGAGCCCAGAGGGGCATCGACGGAGACCTGATATCCGTCCGGATGAGAGGTCAGCAGAAAGTCCAACAGGGAAGGTACATGGTCTTCCACATCTGGGATCCGCGTAGGCGAAGTAACCAGTTGTGTTAGACCATATGCCAAAGCAAAGTCATAGACAGATCTACCCGCATGATCGGTTAAACGAGAATGAAGCCATTCAGCGTGTTGGGCGTTAAAATCACCGAGTATCACGATCTCTGCGGATGGGACCTGTTGTAGCACGGAGTCTGCAGCCATTTGGACGTGGTCGATGAGTCGGTCTGTGTCGGCATTACCGCTATGGGACCTATAGAGGCACCCGTAGACGCGGGGATGGTCGTCGCTGTCTACGCGCAGCCATAGGATGGACAGGTCCGTACCTTCAAGACTGCCGAGGCATCGAAAACAGATGTCCTCTCTGACGTATACGCAAACTCCAGCCCGGGGCACAAAGGAGTATTCCAATTTGTACCCCGGATAGGAGAGATACGAAGTATCAGCCGGAGAGGACACCTGAGTCTCGGTTAAAAAGAGCAAGGCTGATGTTGCAAAAATTCACGGATGCTAGTACCCTCCTGGGGTAGTCTCTTATTTAATTCCACTACCATGTTGTTGGGGGGGGGGGGGGATTGGGCCTCCGGCCACCTGCACTCACCAAGCGCAACGCAGAGGTAAACCTCTACTTCACGCTGGTATTCTGTGAGGTCGTGGTACCACCCCGGTTCGAGCTGGCCCATCCGTGCGACAGCAAAAGCTACCGCTTAGCTCTACCACTGTTAAAAGGAATAAGAAGGTATGCCTGACGAAAAGATGTGTCGTGTGTCGTGTATGTGGTCTATGGTACTAAAACCTTTTCGGAAACTGGCTTGTTTGGGAGGCTGGATGTCGTCGAGTCTGCATGTGAATCGATTCGTAATGAGTCTCGAAAACAGCTCGTAAACGTGGCTCAGAAGGGAAATCGGTCTGTAGTTCTTCAAGAGAGCGTTGTCGCCTTTCTTGAAGGACAAGATCACCGCACTTCTGTTCCAGTCCTCCGGAGTAATCCCACCATGGAGGACGGAATTGAAGAACTTCTGAAGGACTTAAATTACCGGTTTTCCACCCGCTTTCAGAAGCTTTGCTGTAATTCCATCCTCACCTGGGGCCTTACCGTTTTTGAGGTGCTGGAGAGCCATTCTAATCTCGCTCAGACTGACGTCCGGGATATCATTGGAATTATTTCGGATAAAACTTGCCCTTGGATCATTACTCACACTTGTGTGTGGCTCCAACGATGATGTGCACCATAGGATCTCTTAATCTCACTAAAAATCTCAGGTTTCCCGGAAACGATACTGCCACACTTGGTCTTCAACTTTGACAGTTGGCCCTTTCTGATAGATATATCTCTGGCAAAAACTTTGGAGCCTTGGTTCTGCCCGAACGCTTCTTCAATATGAGTTGTATTGAAGTTGCGTAAGTTCCACCGCATGCATTTGGAGATCTGTCTGTTTAGTTGCTTGTATGCTGTCAAATTTGTTGAAGACTGCAGCTTCATTTTCCGTCTAACAGCTATAAGATTAAGAGTGTGATCGGAGAGTTTTTGTGTTCTTCTGTGGAGGGTCTTACACAACTTAGCTCTGGCCGCATGGACAGCTTTCATGAGCTTGCCATTCATATCGTCCACTGCATTGAAATCTTCTAAGCAATGAAAACGGTCTTGTAACTCGAGCTGAATAGTTTCAGGACTTTGAAATAGAGCACGCGAACAGCGTTGACTGCATGAAACACGGCCACTCCCACTTAATGTGAAGGTTCAGTGTGCCTCTACCATTCGGTGATTGCTACCAGTTTCCAACTTCGTGATCACTGAGATATCACTGAGCAGTTGCCGTCTAATCGTCATAATGAAGATCTAATTTTTTGTCGAACCATCGGGGCTCGACTAGGTCCACTTCCTGTGGGGCCGCTTCTGGGGGAAATAGTTCATCATAAAGAATCTCTCTTTATCAATGAAGTCGACCAGCTGCTGGTCCCTTAGGTTCCGTTGCGCTATTCTGCGCTATGCTCACCTTCATATAGTTAAATTTGGAGAACGGAAGCTCACCGTTCTCTCTTGTGCCTAATTTTGCGTAGAAGTCTCCCATTATCACCGTATAGTGGGTTTTGGAGGAATGCATGGCTTTAGAGATATCCTCATACATTTCCTCCACCTCCTCATCGGGATGCGCCGAGGTTGGTGCGTAAACCTGTATGACCTTTAACGAATACCGTTTGGTAATTCTGAGTATAAGGTTCGCAACCCTCGTCGACGCATACACAACCTTTTCTATGTTGTTAACGAGCGACTTTTGGACGATAAATCCGACACCTCCTTGGGACAGATGGTCGCCCTTCCGATAATAGAACTAGTTGCGGAATGTCCTCCCCCTCTCTTCGGCTCTCAGATAATCCTATAATATCTCAGCGCAACTTGTCTTTGTCCTCAGGGTGTATGCGTTGTATGTTACCAGGTGGAGTCATCTTAGGTGGCAACCGAACCTTCACTGGAGATTCTTAGCACCCCTGCCCCGCCGCTACCACTACTGGTCGCCACGACTAGCAGGGTCACCGGAAACTGGGGCCCGTCTCTTCGTAATTTTAATTATGGGGGGGGGGGTTTGCCATAGTTACCACGCTTGGCGAGCGGGTTGGCAACCGCAGTTTTATTTATTGTACTATCGCTGTTATCAGGAAGATGCTGCTGTCCATCTCCTGCCTGTTTCCCATTGTCGCCTCTCTCGACACCCACGGGATGATATGAGGAAGTGGATATTCTTAACTGCCACTATGTTCAGAAAACGTTCAGAAGAAAGTAAATCGCTGCTTAGCCTACCGTTTTGGTACTCCAAGGAATATAAAAGCTATAATGAATATAAGCATTTTCAACTAGAGCTTTTCCTTGCGCCGAAATCACTTAGACATGTCACATCTTCAAAAGTTTGTAAATAACTACATAGACTATGTTCTCTTATTGCCCAAATTCAAACTTAACGAATAATTCAGAATAACAAGATATCCGTGTAGTCTTTTTAAGAAGAAATTTTGTAAAATAAACTTGGGTCGCGACTCCGCAGTGATTCGTATATCTCGTCTGTAAAACAAGCTCACCAAAAATGTATCCGACCTGGACATTTACCACGACACCCTCACTCGATGTATAACCAAACTTAAACGTGTTGACGTATGTACAGTAAGCGACTGTTGTAAAAATCAGCTTTCATTTCTTTTTGGATATATATTTTTTTAACATATTTTTGTTTAATTTGTATAACTTTTTGTAACACAATGAATGCTGTGATTACTATAATTATAAGAATAGTTACATTTATAATACTGTAATGCAACCAAACGTTTGCTGTTTCTTACGTTGGCAATCCAAATAAATTACAGAGTATTTAAGCACGTCTCATAGTAGGGCGCAGGCTTCTAGGGTTATGTAGCAGTTTTTGCGCCACGTTGTTCCAGTGTATATTGACAAATAATTTTATTTCTCAGACGTTTATATTTCCTAATTACGTTTCCCTTCACGCTGAAGGCGTGATAAATCAGCACCTAAAATTCTGCATATTAATTTTTCACTGCTGGCGGGGACCGAATTCGAATCACATCACATCAAATCACACAACAAATATATTACAGTCGTATAGCTCCTGAACTACAACAGCATAATTAACGAGGATATATTTTATTAGAGTCAATATTAAATTGTCGTTGTTTTATTATACTGGTCATAATATTGCCTAAAGTATAACTGGTTATTGATGAGTTTTTTTTTTGTAAATGCAGTCAAGGTGACGATTATTCATTGCCTTTTTCCCAAGTTATGAGACGTTGTTGTCAATGAACGAAAAGTAATAATTGCATTTTAATATCATTTAATATATTTTTATACAATAAGGGTGACACGCGAGCACACTGTCCACCTGGATGGTACATCTAACCTGATTAAAAAACAAAATGCAGATGAGTTGTCATTCCTGAGGATTAAGATAGAATGCCCCGTATCCACTAAAAAGGGTCTCCATTTCTCTACAGTCACCATACGAAACAGCAGAATTGAGCTGCTATTTTACGCTGGTATTCTCTGAGAGCAGGGTACTTCCCCGATCGAGCCGACCCATTCGTGCTACAAGCATAATATAATTGCAGCGTGGTTTTACCTCATAATATAATTTTAAAACAAAAATTTATTTTAGAAACAAAATAATTTTATTTCCTACGAATTGCTAATTGTTGATTATATATCAAAACACTGTTAACTTAACAGGTTTATAGAATTTAGTTAAAAATAAATATTTGGATTTTATATTTACTTTGAATTTGTAAGTAACTAAATCAACCAAAAAAAATGTTTCGCTGATATAACATCGGTGAGTGTGGATAATTGAGCTATTTTGGTAAATTGAGCAGGTAATAGAGCATGAAAATTTAAATGAAATAGAAATACTAGTTGTACAAAACTTCATTAGCAATATATGTCCTTGGCATTTTAAGCACTAACATCACTTAAGATGTGACCGGCTTAATCAGTGACAAATTAAAGGCCGTGATTAATTACAAAGGTTAATTAAATTCTTTTCTCAACGTGTCTGATGTCAAAGGACCATAGGTTACAAAAAACATACATTGCGTGGATTGTGCAAGTTTTAAGACTGGATTTTTAACGTTTTCTTTTAAATTTAGTTTACTTTTTTGTTGATAACAAAGTAACCTATGATAGATATACTCATTGCAGGATTATGCTCATTGCAAGTACGAGAAATAGAACAAGTGGTAATTAAAAACATCGTTAACCTACTTTACGTTCTAGCACAAGCACTTTTATATTATCTATAAAATTACGTAGCTAGATCTTACTGTTTGTAATAATGTATTTATATAGTTTATTTCGATTTAGTTTCAATAAGCGACAAACCAAATGTATTGTAGTGCTAAGTGAATAGGATATTACAATAATACTATGCATTTAAATTGCGTAAGCACGTCTTTGATGATTTATGGCGGGATTTAATCCGAGGCTGCGCGCGCGCAACTCACCGAACAGTCGAGTGTCGACCACTCCAAAGACGCTTGTTTAAAGACGCACGTTGTAATTTGTTATACATGTTGAATGGGAAATCGTAAACAGTGGAAAGTGGATAAAAACAGCAAGTTAATGAACTGAAAAGCTGTAAGTACATTTTAAAATATCTAACGAACCTAAAACTTGTTTGAGTATAATATTATTTTTGTACTTTAGTGTGCAATTCTACCTTGTGATTAAGTTTTTGTTAAATAACTAGTACATTTTCATGAAATTTTATGTAAATAATTGATTAACTGTAACTGAAACTTCTATATACGGAATTTAAATTTTATTATTCATAAATATCTTTATATAAGTTGTAATGTTCTTTCACTTATCACTTATTGGTAAAACTAATTTAGTGAAAAGAGTCTTAAGAGCTTAAGACTGACTTTTTGTGAGAGTAGTAAGTGAGTCCATAATATCTTAAAAGTTTTCATATTTTTCCCTTTTTGATTTGTCAATAAGCTGAGTAAATGTATTAAATATATGAGACAATTTATTTAATATTAACGTGGTATTAATAAAAAAGAAATCAATGGAACTATGTACAACACGATTTAATAAGGTAACGCAGCACGTGTGTATTAAGCTTTTTTGTTCTTATACTGGAGATTGTACGGATTTATGCAATGTTGACTTATATCTGACATATAATTCAATAAAGTTTTGAGGATAACAGTTCCATCAAATATGATATGCATCAGATTGATCATTATTGTGTTCAAAAAAGTTATCATTTTTTTAATTTTATATCCAAATTAGTAATTTTAATAAAAGTGTAAATTTTATCTAAATGTTCTTAGACATAGACTTAATTAGAATACAATATTGGTATAAAGTGTTTAGGAGAAAGAATGAGTTGTGGTAGTACATAAAATTTTGTGGCACGCGAGCAATCCAAGATATATATCTGCTGAAACATAATTTGCTAACCTGTTTATTATGTTAGAAATTAAAATATTTCACACAAGTCTAACGACTGTCAACAGACATTGGTGGAGCGTGTCGAATTCTTCTCGACTCTTAAACCGTTCATGACAGTTCAGTATCTAAGTGCTCGCCGCATTTTGCCGGCTAGGTTAATTGAAATTTTGTATAATTATTAACCCACCACTTGCTCGTCAGTGGAAAAAAACATGGTGAGGGACATGGCTTTTCGAGAAATAAAATATTTTAGAAAGAGAAGTCCCGCCGTGGGGTTGGATTTAGAATCGTTTTTGGCAGGAATTTGGGGGAGTAAGATATTTTATTTGGTAGAAGTTTGGTCCCTGATTACAACAATACCACTCGCATTAAAAGTAATGCACCGTTTACGAGAAATAAAAAAAAACTATTGCCTCAAATGTGTAAAACATGGAAAAACGCATGCAAAATTATTGTGAAAGCTGGATAGCACACAGAGTTTTGTGTAAGTACGACAAGGACGTGAGACCATGTGAAAGAGTCACTTTATTATACTTCTATGGTATTTTTATTCCTCTGTGGTCTATACTCTCTGTCTCTCTCTGTCTCTGTACATTTAGTCAAAAAAGTATCGAGTATGGATGATTTGTTTATGGTTCCAAATTCAATTTTTTTGTTTTTTTTTATTGTTTTTTTGATTGACACAACTGTTTTCCATTTTGGCGTGGTGTTTGAGTTATATCTGTAATTTAGATTAAATGTAGTGATGTTTTTAGTTATATCATAATATCTAATGTGTATTGCGGATTTCGCAACGGACAAAAACATCGAACAAAGGGTTTGTCTTACATTTTACACCGCCAGTGGAATTTTGTGTTCGGAGTCACTGAAAATGTTACAGAAGGCTTATGTTGAATCGATTTTATCAAAAACACGTGGTTATGGTCAAGCTGTGATGGAAGATTTGCCTCACTATTGTAGGCCATCAACGTCTGCAACTGAACTTAACATCGCAAAAGTGAAGGAAATTGAAACTGAAAATCCTCATTCAAGTTTGATAGAGTCAGACGCCGAACTTTCTGTGTCTCACGATTCAATCCATACCATATTGAATAATCACTTGGGTATGAAACTTGTTGCCGCTCGGATAGTCTCAAAAGACCTGAATTCTCTCCAAAAACTCAATGGAATAAGAGTCGCTGAGGACATGCTAGAACGAGTCATTTCCGACTGAACATTCATAAAACGCAAGGTGACGAGACGTTGTTGACTAGTTTGACATGCAAACTAGTCAACAAGTTTTGGAATGGCGCCCTCCAACTGGACCGAAACCGAAAAAATCACGCCAAAGTCAATCAAAAGTCAAAGTCATGTTGATTGTTCTCTTTGACTATCGCGGTGTTGTGCACTCGGAATTCTTGCCTGGAGGTCAAACCGTAAATAAGCGCTATTATTTGAGCACAGTGCGGCGTTTAAGAGAGCAAATTAGACGAAAAAGGTCAAATTTGCAAAAAGAAATTTTTTGGATTTTGCACCACAATAATGCGCCTTCGCACAAGGCCAATATTGTAAACGAATTTTTGACCAAAAACTCAACAAATACCATCAAAAAACACCTTATTTACCAGATATGACTCCAGCCGACTTCTTTCTTTTTGCTAAACTCAAATTAACACTTTGTGGCACCCGTTTTTATTTGGTAAAAGACTTAAGGAGAATTCGCAGGGATAACTGAACTCAATTCCGGAAAAAGCGTTTCAAAATGTTTTGATGATTGGATTATCCGTTGGAGAAAGTGTATAGTTTCTGAATTCGTCGTCGTTTGCTCTTTTTGCGTAAACGTGTGCCCTCCAGTGTATTATTGTAGCTTTTATCGTGCCCAGAAATACTTCATCACCCAGAAATACTTACAGTTGAATTTAATTAGAAGGCTGAGCGCTAGAAGATCAATAACCTTGAAGAAAAATAAGCTAGAAGAAAAATAACTTATTTTCACTCATTCCGCACTCAGCAGCAGAATAGGAAGCCATTGGCTTCCTATTCGTCAGCGAAGATACATCAAGATACTTATATATTATACAGGATACAGCTAGTATCCTATCTCTCAAGTTGGACCAAACTGCACACACTGTGCAAAATTTTATTGAAATCAGTTCAGTAGTATAGGAGTTCATTGAGGACAAACAACGTGACACTTAATTTTTATATATTAATATAGATATATGAGTGTGGTAAGAGGTGACAAAACTAAATTAAAACAGGAGCTGTACAGCAGAACCTTCCGATTAAAACTCAGAATAACAAGTTGAATGTAAATTCAAGAAAAACAACTTCCTTCTGCGTGAATCCCATATCTCTGGTGCCCTTTGACCTACAGGACGCAAAGTCAAACTCGACCGAGCTACTACCTCAAGGTATCCACATACCAAATTTAAAGTCAATCGGTCCAGTGGAACGGAAGTTATCGTGTCGGCATACAGACTAACAGACTGCCAGCTAAAACCATTAACTTCCTTTCAATGCTACGCAGAAGGAAGTTAATAAAAAATTGTGGTTATCAACTCGTACATGCCAGAAACTATGGAAAATGTACCCCATATGAGGCAATCTATGGCGGAGGCCTATGATTAGCAGTGAACTTTGATAGGCTGTAATGATAATGATGATGATGATCTGAAGTCCGCACACAGCTGATATTTTATCATATATAAGGCAGCAATGTAATTTATTACCCTTCATTCTTATTGAGATTATCAATGTTGAAAAATGTTAAATGAGACTATTATTATACTTCTTCAGAGCGAAGTATAAATATGAATGGAATGCTGTGCAATTATGATCTTTTCCGCCTAGTTTATGTAATCAAATCGATTTCACGTTTAATACTCACTTTGGTTCTGTACTTTATTAAACTATACTATATATATTTATGATTGTGCCATAATAATTATTAGTAAAACACAATTACGTACAAGTATTTGTTGCAATTTATTTATTTACAGGGATATTTCTGGAGATTAAATGTCTATAGATAATGTACCACCGTAGCTAAGAATGCTTACAGTTTACAATATTCTTTTCAATAACTACAGACCAATTTCCCTTCTGAGCCGCACCTACGCGCTGTTTTCGAGAGTGATTACGAATCATCTCACACGCAGACTCGAAGAATTTAAGACTCCCGATCAAGCCAGTTTACACAAAACCTTTTGTACCATAAACCTCATTCAACCCTTCGGCAAATTGTACAGAGGACTGAGGAGTACAATCTGCCACTTTATGTTCCGTTTGTGGGCTATGAGAAAGCCTTTTATTCTGATGATGATTTTGAGCAAAAATATAGACCATTCAGCGGTGTCAAGTTGACCGTCGGTATATAGAATTTTTGAAGTGTTCGTGCAGTACAATGGCTATCCAAGTATATATCACCTCAATAACCTCAATTGTGTCTCCCAACGGATAGGATGAACATGGACAAAATTAAGGACAAGTGAAATGTCCACATCACACTTATGCTAATAGTTGTTGGGAAATCTACTCTATTAGTTGTAAACTCGTATGTTTACAGAGGATAAATTTTCCGTCTAATTAAGTCTAACTTCAACCGAAAAGTTACTCGACGTTTTAAAAAAAAAGACTGCTTATGAAATATTATATAGCCAGCTTCCCTCAAGAAAAAATCACAGTAAAAATAATATCAAAAATAATCGCGAACATTCATTCGTTAAGATGGATAAAGTAAATTATCAGTAGATTATACTCTTTTAGATACAGTGAAACTCTGATAGATACAGTGAAATCTTATAGATAACGTGACAGGGATGACATATCCGTTATTGAGAACAAGCATTTTAATGTTTAAATACTTAAAAGGTTTCCCTTCAAATTAATATATGCCACCCGTTAATCAGTCTGGTGCACTAATATTAACCTACTAGATTACTGCATATAGTAAAACAGGTTTAAAGTACGTCAATAATTTTGAATAATAAAGGCCTTCATAAAAAACCTACTGAAAGCATATAGTAAAGATAAATAACGTCGGTTGTTTATGTGATATTTGTTCATTCTTATCTTATTTAAACCTCTATGTAATTAAGAATTATCGTATAAATGAAGAAGAACAGCAAAAACTAAAGTAATATCTTTGATATTTACAGTACTTACAGTCACTGTATTTTTATTTCAAGTAAATAACT